TCTTGTGGTTAATGGCGACAACGTTCGGCTATCCATGTATTGATTGTGAGAGTGGTATGGTGGGTATATGGAAGTGACCGGATGACCGGTATATTATTATGGATTTATCATGTCCTTCCTTGAGCCGAGGATTTTCCGGCTATTTATTGATGATGGTTTAGTGAGCTTGTTATTACGGGGCCGAGGGTATTCCGACTGCTCACTTAGACAGATGTAGTGAGCTTATGATTATGGAGCCGAGGTTATTCCGGCTGCTCACTTTGGCGGATATATATATGTGGATGTGCATTGTTGTGGAGTTTGATATTTGTATTGCATCATTTCACTATTGGCATGACATGACACGTATTTTATGATTAACGGGAATTAGACTTTATTTTAAAAAGGTATGAAATGACATATTTCACGTTAGTTCTTAAAGTGGATGTAATTCTAGACTGCTTTTAAGAAACTATTTGTTTCAGGTATGCATGACACATCGAGACAGGGGACTTCTCGGGATATAGAAAGACGGGCTGAGTGAGTGAACTTACGTCTATTGTATTATATGTAAATTTTTAACCGGAAAAAAAACTTCTTGTTAAGGGGTGTGTTTTGTAAATATTTATAAATCAGATTCTGTTATATAATAATACGCTTTTATGGTAATTTTAGCCTTAACACTGTATTGTGGGGCCCGAAGTAGGAGGTGACGACCTCATGATGTAGTGTGGCGGTAGCATTTCCAGTATGAGCCAACTGGGGGTGTTACATTTTGCGTATAAAAATATTAGGAAATTTATTTTATTTAATTATTTATATTTTATTATAAAAAAAATATTATTTATACATATTTATGGGCCCCTAATTTTTGTTTTAAGATAATTAATATTAATACTATTATTGTTATTTTATCTAAAAATTTTTAAAAAATTATTTTATTTTAATAATTTATATTCTATTATAGGTAAAAAAAAACCGGAGTAGATCATTTATATATATTTAGGGATTTTTTATTTTTGTTTTAATTATTTTTTTTGCACTAAAAAGATAATAAATATTAGACAAAATTATTATTAATATTATTAGGCAGAACTATCAATAACTTATTTATAATTTCGAAAATTAGTGTAAATCCTCTATATACTTTAAAAATAGTATGAACCCCCTTATAATTTAAAAAATGTTTCATTAAACTCATTTTTATATTTTTTTTGTGATGAGAAGATGACTTTTCATCTATATTTTTTTTTATAGTAAGAGTTTTATATAGCGTTTGTTAAAATATAAGGGAGTTTTACGCAATTTTTAAAACATATGCTAGAAAAAATATTTTTTTTTAATTTATATTTTATTACAGGTAAAAAATATTATATTATATATATATTTAAGGGCCCCTAACTTTTAGTTCGCCCCGCGCCCTTTGAAAGTCAGGAACGGCCATGCAAACAATTGTTCAAAATTAAAAGTTTTATTAAAAAAACATTTTATTAAATGTCCATATTTGTTGATTCTAATTAAATGTAATTAAAAATAAATTATTAAAATACTTAATGTATAAAAAAAACCTGTGTGTTTGTTCGTGACTTTTTGTTAGTTTTGTAATACTACTATTATTTACAAATTTTTTTAATTTCCTTTAAAAAATATTAAATAAATTTTTTATTATTTTTATTTTTATATTATATTAAAATTTAATTTTTTTTAAAAAAATATTAAATCAATATATATTTATATTAAATCAAATAATTATTTAAATCTAAAATTTTACTATTTAAATTCTAATTCCAATACCAAACCCACTACTAGAGCTGTTAAACGAACCGAGCCGTTCGTGCACTCGGCTCGATTCGACTCGGTTAAAGCTTGTTCGCGAACGTTAACGAGCCGAACCGAACAACATAAACAGGTTCGTTTGGTTAACGAACGAGCCCGAGCTTTGTTCGCGAACGTTCATTTAAATAATATATTTATTATAAATATTATATATACATATTAAATTATAATTTATAAATAAATAAAATATTAATTTAAAATATATAAATAAAATAATTTAATTTTTCTTTATAACTTATATATAAATTTAAAAAAATAAGAGAAACGAGCTCGAACGAACTCGAACGAGCTTAATTGAGTCTAAACGAGCTGAACACGAACACGAGCTTAAACAACAAAAATTCTTAACGAGCCGAGCTCGAACACTACGAACGAACTCGAAAGCTTAACGAACGAGTCCGGGCCTTGTTCGCGAACATTATCGAACACTTAAAATTTGGCTCGACTCGGATCGTTAAAAGCTCCACCCACTGCCAAATACAAATAATAATTTTTGACTCATTTCTTGATTATACTATAAAAATAGAATATATACATATATTCACACAAAAAATTTGAATATATATACATATATACCTCCGAAAAATTTTTAGTCACATTTCTTTGTATTGAGTATATTATACTATACAAATTATACAAATAATTAAGAAAAATAGTACACAAAATTTATATAAAAAAACACAAAAATGTTCAACAAGATTGGAATTTTCTTTTGGTTAAATTTTGTGAGATTTTAGCAAACAATTTTTGGGACTCGATGGAATAGCCTCTAGTGCCCCTACAAGGCCCTGTGGGATGGGGGGGGGGGGATTATTATTATTATTATTAGGGTAAATTATATTCTCTCTGTTCCGTAACTATATATCAATTTTTTTTTGTACGAGATTTTAGAAATATTAGTTATATTGAGATATAGTAAAAATAAAATAGAAATGACTAAAATAATCTTATTAGTATTGTGTGATATAAAGGTAATGACATTTGTGTAATATATTGTAAGTTGTAAGAGTATTTGTAATATTAGATAGATAGTACAATTACTAAAAATAGAAATGGATATTTTATTATGGGTTTGACTAGAATAAAAAAATATATAGTTTGTTATAGGACGGAGGGAGTATAATACCTTTTACAAAAAATTATAAAAAATACTTCGTATTTTATTTATTACATTAAGCTCCCCATATGTTAAATTAAAATATACATAATACAAGCATTTCATCAAAGTTGATGTTTGATTGTAAATACATACCTACTTATACAAGTTTTATCTAAATAAAAAGGATAAAATATGTTAAATAAGTAATCGATCAATCATTTATAGGTTTTTTAGACAAATTATTATTATTTTTTTAAAAAAAAACCTATAAAATGAAAGTTTGATCATTTATTTATTTTATTCAAAAATATTATTTAAACATTTTACCTATTTTATATAACTAGTATTATTACGTCCGTATTTACAATCAAACATTAATTTTGGATGAAAACCGTATTTTGAACCAATTTTAATTTAATTAAAAGAATTTTATGTAATAAATAAAATATAAAATATTTTGTCCATTTTTACTAAAATAAAAAAATAATGTTATTTAATTTACTATTATTATTATTATTATTATTATTATTATTATTATTATTCCCAAACTACACATTGCAAGTGCATACATGCATAAGTAGGTATAATTTTTGTTTGTGGCGAACTAGAATATGATTTAAGGGAGTATTTTATAAAAATAAAAATAAATAAATAAATATAACACAGTTTATTGAATGTCAATATAATTTTAATTTTTTAAATTTTCGTATTTTAAAAATATTACAAGATAATATTATACTAAAAATTAAATCGTATATTCAAAATATCACACGCACTTTATAATATATCATTACCATCATCAAGTTAGCTGATACGAAAAAGATATATCATAATATATTGTATATAGTTTCAAATGAGTATGTTTAGAACTGACAATTCGGGCCGGGCCGGCCCGTCCCGATTTATTTCGAGCCAAGTTGAACGACTAAGTTCTGAAGCAGGCTGAATAGGCATAACTCGATTTCAAATCGGCTTTTTAAAATAAAATCATAATATCATAATATATATACTCTCTCCCTCCATCCCTTAACAATCTATCCTTTTTTTTTTTTTTGGTTCGTCTCGTAACAAAGTATTCATTTCTTTTTTTAAAAAATTAATTGTACTGTCTACTAAACATTACAAATATCCTTTCAATTTATAATATATTACACAAATGTCATTACTTTTATATCATACAATACTAACAAAGTTAATTTAGTCTTTTTACATTTATTTCTACTTTATCTCAATATAATACTAATATTTCTAAAACTCCGTGTAAAAAACAAATAAATATATAAATATAGGACGAAAGGGAATATTAATTAATAGTTCTTTATTCTCATAACAATTGACATGTTTTTTCTATTTTTTTTCAATCTCATAATAATTGACAATTTTTTTTTTAAAAAAAAATTATTAAATTAAAATATATTTAATAAATATAAATTAATTTAATTAATTACCTAATATATATTGTATCATAATATCATAATTGATTGTTTTCATAATTTAGGAGTATGATAATTATGTTAGGACCAAGGAAGTATAATATTACGTGCTTAAATTTGTTATTTATTCATTGTACATATACACTTTACACGTTATTTATAAATTGATTTACAATCTCGTTACTAATAAATATATAGGTATGTTTGTTTGGGGTTTGGATTTTGAGTTATAATTTGAATAGTAAAAGTTTTAAATTTGAATAGCTGTGTAATGTGATATAAATAAGTGTTGATGCGATATTTTGAATATAAAATTGATTTTTAGTATAATATAAAAAATAAAAAATAAGTATTTTGATGTGATATTTTTTGAGAAAAAAATAAGATAAATAATGTATTTAAAATTCAAATCCTCCAAGCAAATACACCCGTAGAGTATTGTAAATTTCTTTATACGTATATAATAATAATAAAAAAAAAATTCAATAAAAAAATGGTATTTAAATAAATAAAGAAAGAAGGTCCTCTTTGTTTCGGAGAGTACGATGATGAAATATTAGTTATTTGTATTTTTTTTTATATATTTTGAAATACTTTCCCGTTGCTACTAATAGCATTTGAAACTTTTCGTCGCAGTCATGAGCAGAGCGTGTCGTTTTCTTCTTTTTGGCGGTTTTCCTTACCTGCCTCTCTCTCTCTCTCTTCTCTCTCTCCTCTTCCCTTCGTAACTTTCAAACCCAACCAGCATTGAATGAATTGATTTCGTTTTTATCGCAACTCATTAACGCCATAATTCATCTCAATTTCCTCTATTTTAATGGAAAAAGGCATCCGTTAAGTCTCTTTCTGCTCCAATTTTCAGCTGCAATTTTGCGGAATCGAGTTTTTTGGGGGTATGGGATTCGTCAGTAGTTTATTGGGGTTTTTAGGCTTCGGAATCGGATTCCCAGCTGGTCTTCTGATTGGATTCTATCTGTTCCTTTATTCTGAATCGGAAGATGTTAAGGTGATTTTTGTCAAATCTATTCCGTCATTAGCTCGCGCTGTTTTTTCTTTCATGTGCTCTACTGTTTGCAGCTATGGAAATTATAAGTTTATGCAATAGTTTTAGTATATGTTTGTCTCGTTTGATCGCTTTATTGATTAGGGATTTTGAATTTGTTTTCTCTGTTTTTGTTAATCCGATTTCGATAAATTTCTAACAGAATTGAAATGATCTGGAATCAGGTGAAAATCTATAAAATTGGTATTTAGTTCTCGGTTGATTTTGATTCGATATTTTCTTAAATATGTTGATTTTGATTCGTTTAGGTGTTTCTTCGTGTAGTTGTGTACAAAAATGGGCAGTAAAGAAATTGATAACGGAGTTAGTGATTGCCATCGATCTAGAACTCGCTGTTGCATAATTTTCAGTGTACCTTATTGTTCCAATACTTGTTTTACAGAAATTGTTGATGTTTTGATACTCGGTTGAGTTTATATAACCGCCTTCATATATGCTGTTTTCACAATAGTATTTTGCATATTCCATTTTTCACATGAATGTAAGTAGAAAATTTGCTCCCAAACAAGCCTATTTGTGGTCACTTTACCATTGTAGACTATAGCCTTGCCAAACTTGTTAGTCTTTTTCATTTAGTCAAGTGATGTGAGATGAGAGTTGAAAATTAGTTTTTTCAAAGGATAGTTATCCCCCAAACACTCTCCAAAGTTGAGTATTATCAAAATACTAGGACATGGATCGAATTTGTCAAACAAGAAGAGTTGGGCAGAATGATGTTACAACTAAGATTAGTTGGTGCAACAAGACAATGTAGAGCCAAACAGAATTTGAGGATAGGATGGGGAAAAGAGGAGAGAGGAAATAATTTAGGGAGGAAGATGTTTGTGTATAGAAATAAATTTGATACACAAATAGTAAAGTTTACACAACAACAAACAAAATATATTTGTCGCAGAGCGGTCTCTCATTTTATTTGTCACGGTGTGCTGTTAATACTCGGCGCCATGTATTTATGCTTGCTAATGTTGGATTGATGCCAGGATCCAGAAATCAGACCACTTTGCGAGCTGGATACGCCTGCATTGGAAAATCTCATGCCTGATATTCCTCTGTGGGTGAAGAGTCCAGATTATGATCGGGTGAGTACTCTTGTAAAACTTTCATTATTGCAGGAATTGTCTTGGATGAATTTCTCCCGTAACTATGATCTGCTACACATTCTGTCGTAAATGCTTTTCAGGTAGACTGGTTAAACAAGTTTGTATGCAATATGTGGCCTTTCCTGGACAAGGTACTTATAAAAATACCGACATTTGTATTACTCATTCACGAAGATGTTATTTACTTATATACATATATATATATGTATATATGTATATATATGACTTAACAGGCAATATGCAGTGTAATTAGAAGCACAGCTGAGCCGATGTTTGCTGAGTACATTGGGAAATATAAAATAGAATCCATTGAGTTCAAGAAACTAAGCCTAGGAAATCTCCCTGCAACAGTTCACGGTGAGCTCACTATACTCTGGTCAATCTGACCCTGTTACCTTTTCTTTTCTTCGATACGGAGAAAGTATTTGCTAGAGATCTCTTAAAAATATCGTATAAGGTGTCATAAACTCATAAGCACATGGAAAGTGTTTGACATAAGTATTTTGACGTCGAATGTACTTAATATTGAAATAAGTTATCACATCTTATAAGCTGTCCTAAATGATCTATAAACCCTCTGATGTTTCTTGGCAGGCCTTAAAGTCTGTGAGACAAATGAGAAGGAATTAGTGATGGAACCAGTACTTCGATGGGCTGGCAATCCAAACATAATCGTTTCTGTAACTATTGCATCTGTGAAATTGAAAATCCAGGTCTGTTGGTCTCTATGACAGTCCTCTGCTTCATTAAGAACTGTTCTTTTTCAAATTCTTAACGAACGGAGGGAACTTTTACAGTTGGTGGATTTGCAAGTATCTGCTGCACCAAGAGTAACTTTGAAACCATTAGTGCCGAGTGTCCCATGCTTTGCAAATATAATCGTCTCTCTGATGGAACAGGTAAATAAGATAGATGCTTTAAATGAGTTTAGCTAAAGTTCTCTGAAAATGGAAGTTCATATTTTTATCTTCTTCTCCTGATCGAAACAGCCACATATAGACTTTGGATTGAATGTCTTGGGTGGGGACATCATGTCTATTCCTGGCCTTTATCGATACATTCAGGTAACATGAGAATTTTCGATCAAAGTTAGTATTGGCAAGTTCTTCCTCGTGCTCCTTTCATGCTTGAAATTTAATCGGTGTTACCTTTTCCAGGAGACTATTAAAAAACAAGTTGCAAGTCTTTACTTATGGCCTAAGTCTCTTGAAATACCTGTTCTTGATGCGTCGACGTGAGTCTCCATTTACTCTGAATTGTATTATTCTTCTTCCATTGTTTTTAAGATCAAGCTCGATTTTTGTATGTCTCTCTCTCAGGGTAGCAGTAAAGAAGCCTGTGGGAATCCTACACGTGAAAGTTGTTCGTGCAACGAAGCTTCTAAAGATGGATTTACTAGGATTGTCCGATCCTTATGTTAAGCTAAGCCTTAGCGGAGATAAATTTCCAGCAAAAAAAACTACCATTAAGAAAAAGACCTTGAATCCCGAGTGGGGCGAGGAATTCAAACTCTCGGTGAAGGACCCTCAATCCCAAATGCTTTTTATAAATGTCTTCGACTGGGATAAGGTTTGATCCTTTAATCTATTTCTATACGTTGAGTTTGTTTAATGGCCTTTTGCATCTAAAAGCCTTTAACTTCGATCGAAACATATCTTTTTAGCTTAGTGTTTGTTTCATCGTTTATACTTGATAATACACTACATAGTGTACAGTCCATTTGCTCGATAGAGACAGTTTTACACGATCTTACTACACAATACATATTTTGGGTAAATCGTGAATCCTTTAAAAACTCTTATGATAAAATTGAAAGATAGATCATGTGTGTAATACAATTTTGTTAGATATTTCGTATTTTTTGAAAGGCAAGTCTTTACTTTGCGATCTTGTAATACAGAGGATGCCATTGCTCTAAAATGATGTTGCTATAGTTAAGATGTCGACTCATTCAAAAGTTTAGATCATTGTCATTCTTACACATAATTGTTTCGACACTATTTAGTTTCTTACAATATTCGTGTAACCTTTAGTGTTTTTTTGTATGTTATAGGTTGGCTCACATGACCGGCTGGGGACTCAAATTTACCCTTTGAAGTTATTAACACCGAATGAGACGAAAGAAGTAAAGCTCGACCTGTTGAAAGATACAGGAATTACTGATACACACAAGGTGAAGCCAAGAGGGCAAATCTTACTCGAGCTAACATATGCTCCCTTCAGAGAAAATGTCGATAGTTTCAGCGGGTTATTGAACGGCTTTGATAGAACAGACAGCATGTTCGACCGGGCAGCCAGCAACATAAGCCAAACGGGAGCCGGCCTACTTCTAGTAACAGTTCAAGGCGCACACGATGTTGAAGGGTCACGCCACAACAATCCTTACGCGGTTGTCATCTTTAGAGGCGAAAGGAAAAAATCAAAGGTAATATACGAACTATGCCTTTGTCTTTCCGAAGTTGCTATACTCATGTGTTATAGTATTCTGATTTTTCGATATATATATTAGGATTGAATACGACATCTTCGCGTTAAATAAACTCTTTAAAACACAAAGTTCATACCTCCCAATGGAGAATACTTCTTTTTCTTTTTGAACGAAGATTTTTGAAAAGCTCGGATCTTATTTTTCATTTCAAGTGTTGAGTACGTTATAATTGCATTGTAGATGATGAGGAAAACTCGAAACCCCTTGTGGAACGAGGAGTTTCAATTCATGCTTGAAGAACCACCGGTGCACGAGAAGATTCACATACAAGTTATGAGCAAGGGGTCGAGCCTCGCCTTCTATTCAAAGGTACGCTCACTACCTGTTAAGAAGAAACAGTTATTTGATTTGATATATGTTAAAAAAAAAATACTCCCTATGTTCCGTAACTAAGTATCCATTTACTTTTTGCGTGTTATATTTGAATATTAATGGATATTTTTAATGTTAAGTACAATGACGCAAATAGTAAATGGATACCTTGTTATGGGACGGAGGGAGTATTATTGTTGATGAATTGTTTTAAAATTTTCGAAAGTGTCGGCGTATATAGAGTTTATATAAGTTGTTCTTGTGGACTCTAAATTCACTTAAAACTGTGGATGATTTGCATGTAGGAATCTCTGGGACATGTTGACATAAACTTAACCGATGTGGTGCACAATGGGCGTATCAACGAGAAGTACCATTTGATCGATTCGAAGAATGGAATTGTACATGTGGAGTTACGATGGAAAACTATATGAAGAACTTGGTGGTAATAAGGTACATACGACTTTTTTTAGCTTTGAGTTTTGTTGAAAGATGACAAGGCTTAGCTTAATACTTACTTAGAATAAGTTTTTGATTTTTGGAATAATTGAATTTTGGCTAAAAGAATATGTACATTACCAAGTTTAAGGTGTGTTTCTTTAGAGGGTATTGGCGGAATTTGGATTTGGATTTGATTTTTATTTGAACTTTTTTGATGAGTTTGAATTTTGTTGTTTCTTTTATGTTTTGATTTGGTTGGGGTTTTGGGGGGGTTTTTATGGGTATTGATATGGATAATGAATAAAATAATTTAATACATGTAATTGATAAAATTAATAGTAGTAAGATTTTATTATGAATTTATATTATATACAACATATATATTTTTAAATTTTTATTTAATTGTATTATAGAATATTTATTCTCTACAAAATAACATATATATTTTATATATCTTTTTAACCTATAATTATTATAAATATTAAATAAATTATTATTTATATATTTTAAATTAAAAACAAAAAACAGATAAATAGATATAAAGCTGCTGCAGTCTACAATGTGTTGTCCTATTTAGTAGCAGTCCCAGTTTGGGAATATTTACTGTGCAAATACTCCTCAAACCGGGGCCGAAGAAACACGTCCTAAGGCTTCGTTTACATACATTTTTTTATTTTTTTTTTGAACCCCTAAAAAAAACAAATCTCAATTCAAACGCAATTCTCTTTAAAATATCGTAATGAAATATTTGAGTTTATTATTTTTTTAAAAGGAAGTTTGGGTGAGTTCACTTTGTATGTTTTTTAATGTATGTGTTTTTTATTAAATATTTTGTGTTTAATATTGATATTTTGTAATTAGATAAAATTTATATTTTATAGTCTATCTGTCTTTGTTACTTATGACTATTTTTCTTTTTTAGTGTGATATATTAGATGATTTATTTATATTTTTAGTAATTTTAATAATTTTAAACATACTTAATAAATATAAATCAATTTAATTAAATTTCAAAGCTCTTTTATATTTATCTTTTCTTCAATAAACAAATATTTATATATATATATATTTAAAATTTCTTATTTTTTATAAATTAATTTATGTTTATTATAGCTAAATAAATATATATTTTTATTTATTTGTATTATATAAAATTTTATATTTTACGAAATAATTTTCATATTATATATATTTATTTTTATTGAGATATAATGTTTAAAATATTTAAATATATATTTTAAATTTTTTTAACTATATATATTATTTTTTAAAATAAAAAATAATAACAATACTACTTATGTAAAAAATAATAAAATAATATTATAATTATTTATATAAAAAAAATAATAAAATAATATTATAACTAGTAAAATTAACCTATTAAATTATATTACTTAAAATGTTACTATGTTTATAACTAAAGAGGTCATCTGACCCTGGACGGAAGAGTATATTGTATTTTTAATACTCGTTTTGTCTACAAACTAATGTCATATTTTCTTATTTGAGGCGTTCAACAAGTATTATCCTATTTATTTTTTTAAATACAAATTTTACTATTTTTTTTACCCTTCATTCATTTACCCCTTTAAATTTTTATCTTAACATAAAACATAAATTTATAACAAAAAAAAAATAAGCAAAAATATTTTATAAGAATAGAAATTAAACAAATGGAGTAATATTTATGAGAATTAGACTTCACCGAAAAAAAATATTAGGCTAATACACCCTTTGTTTGATTCTGTTATTTTTTTTCAAGTCTTTCCACTTATTTTCATTGTTTATTTATAATAATTTATTTTTTGCTTTTAAAACATGGTATCATATATTTATTTTTATTTAATGCATTATTTTATTTTTTATTTAATATATGATATAAAATAATATATTCAACAAAAAAATACAAAATATCATAACACAACATTAGAAGGTGCAAATGCCAAATGGCATGTTGGATCTAATAATTCAGCATGCTGAATATTATCAGCATCGTTTATTTATAAAAAAATATTTAAATTACCTATATTACTCGTATTTAATCAATAGTTTAAAATTGATTCAGTTTATATATATGATTTTGTCGAGATATTTTAAATATTCAATTTTAGATTTAGTAAATTTATATTTAGATTTGGTCTTATTCATATATTAGATTACTTATATTTAAATCTATCAAGTTTGTTTTGTATTATTTATATATATATACCTCTTATTTTGATGATAAATAAGACAATCTCTTTATTTTCCCCCGAAATTTTTAATAAATTTTTAATATGGTATCAGAGTCTATTTTTCTCATGTCGTAGATATAGCTTACTTATCCGCATTTCTCTGGGTACATTCAACCTGGATTGTACCCGGAGGTCTTGTGATTTTGATATCATGCCTTTGCAAGTCTGTATTTCTGCAAATCTGTCTCTAAAATCTATTTGCTATCTGTCATTTGTCTATTGCTTGCGTGCGATCTGAAATAAATCTTCTATATGTTATTTGTCCGTTGTTTGTTTGTTGTCTATGTGCGATCCGAAATCTGTTTGCGATCTGTCATTTGTCCATTGTTTGTTTGTTGCATGCGTGCGATCTGTTTTGTCTTTGCGATTTATCTGTTTTCGGCTCCGGTGGAGAGTCATGTTGTTTTTTTTGTTCCGGTTCATGTCATTTTCGACTCTGGTGGAGAGTCAATTGTTTTAGACTCCGTTGGAGAGTCAACTGTTTTCGGCTCCGGTGAAGAGTCAACTGTTTTTTACTTCGGTGGAAAGTCATGTCGTTTTTTGCTCCGATGGAGAGTTATATCGTTTTCAACTCCGGTGGAGAGTCATGTCGTTTTCGACTCCGGTGGAGAGTCAACTATTTTCGACTCCGGCGGAGAGTTAACTGTTATTTTTATTTGCGTTTTTTGCGTCTATATTCAACTTTCTTATCAAACTCAAGTTGGTTTCTGTTATAATACTTGAGTTTGAGGGAGATATTGAGATATTTTAGATATTCAGTTTTAGATTTAGTATATTTATATTTAAATTTAGTCTTATCCATATATTAAACTACTTATATTTGAGTCTTTCGAGTCTATTGCATATATATATATATAAGTTTCTTATTTTGGATGATTAACAAGACAATTTCATTATTTTTTCCTAAAAATTCTAACAGTTTTCAAGTAAAATTTATAAATCATTTTATTGGGGAAAACATAGTTGAGAACTTCATCACCATTCCCCAAGCCATTGATTTGCACAGCCGGTGTGCTAAGTTTGAAAATTTTTCTAAGTCAAGCCTTTGTAAATCAAACAGTGATCCATATTCAATCTCGAGGTGAGTATGTAGAGTATAAAAAAAATCAAGAAAATTTCCAAGACTTTATATTTTTCATCGCCGAAATAGGGAGGCATATCAAACTCGCAAGGCCGGCTCTGGGCTCAAGCGAGAGGGGCACCTGCCCAAAACCCAATATAAATGAGAGGCCGTCAAATATTTATGTTATATATATATATAGTTGTTATGTATAGAACTTGTTTGATCTATTTGAAATTAAAAGCAATGTAATTTGATGGTGTGAGATTATTTTATAATTGTAAAATCATGGTTCTAATTCACTGGGTTACAAAATTTTGGAATTTTTCTAATACTATTTTTACATCTAAAAATATTATTTAACTATTTAAAATTTTATTTATAAATAAAAAATGTATTATTTATATATATTTAGGGGCTCCTATTTTTGTTTTGCCCCTACCTCCTCGAAAGTCAGGACTGGCCTGCAAACTCGTCATCGAAATTTCCTCTTCTTCGCAACCTCCATCACTTTCTCAATCGTCGATATCTGACCACTCATCGTCCTCTTCTTCACCAAATTGGTCATTTTGCTCGGTTCCTTCCACTTTGTCGGAATTGTTTCTTAGAACATTTCTCTTACCAAACCTCGAGACATTTACGAGAGCGCAAAACTTCTCCTCGATCACCATCTTGTGCTTTTTTTTTTTTTTTTCTATCAACTGGGAATAGCAAGCCACACATAGAACATATCCGGATGCCGAATAACCATACCCCTAAATTGTTGAGAGAATCAAAATTCCTCTAAAAAATGCCTCAAATGATCCACAAGCATTCTTTTCTTGAGCGTAAGGCTCAAAATCTTGTGAACAATACCACAAGTTAAGCATGTTTAATTATAAACCTAACCCACACGACCCATCGGCAAAAAACTTTAGCACATTCGAAAAGCAAGATCATTCAAGAGCTCTGACTTGAGACCATGGGATGAGACCACACTCGCCTCTTCGAGGCTCATGATGGATACCAAATGCCAATGTACAAATTGAGATAGGCAAATAAGAGAGAATTTACTAAAATATTTTTTTTAAAGAAAAAAAAAATTGTGTAAAAAAAAAAAGTTAGAAAATTATAGTTCTAAAAATTCTAAAGACTACGAGAAAAAGAAAAAGATGATCAGGGCGCATAGCGATTATTAAAAACATAAAATTATTCTTAACCAAATCTTTCCAAAATCTTTAATAAATTATTTCATCGCCTCTACTCCACCCTTTGCCTCCGCCTCTTCGGCCGCCAATCCACCTCACCCCAAAACCCACCACCCTGCCTCTTTCTCTTTCCCTCTCTCTCTCCCCTTCACCCGCCCGATCCTGCCTCCCTTCTCCTGTCTCTCTTTCTTCTCGATCGCCGGCATCACCCATCTTCTCCCACCTACCGTCGCTGCGAACCACCGCTCGTCGCCCCTTCCTTAGCCGTCGACTGCGACCACCGACTTCCACAACCGTTGCCGTCGACTCTCTCGACCATCAGTGACGAACTAGTTTCCGGACTTTGAGGGCAAAATTATTGTGTTACACAATTTATCAACTGAACTTGTCGATCAACGGCTAAGTCTAGCCAAATTCACGGCTATCACAATTTATCAATCGATTTGTCATTGAGGTCTAGCCAAATCTACGGCTATCACAATTTATCAATTGACTCGTACTAAGTCTAGCCAAATTCACGGTTAATACAATTCACCAATAATTATTTGTCCGCCAACAGTATCAATAACCTAACAAATAATTTATCATATACACTATATATCACATCAACTGTATTTAGCAATTAGTATTATCATATCACGAATACATAATTTTAACGGTTCATTCATTTCAAGCGTGTATAATTTAACCCCTTACCTTAACTGTAGACTTATCTCGCTTAGTAGAACATGGCACAACCCCAAATCGACCGGGACCTCCGGACAATCTTAAACCACAATTAAGACATGAACATCAAACAACAATAATGCACAAAGTTCGGTAACTCGGATAAAAAATCACACACACGGCTCTCAAATGATCCCAACTCAATCTAACAACTACCAAAATTATTCACAAGGTTTAGAGAGTACCTTTATAAGTCATTTTCAAGTCAAAAGTCATTTAAACAAGGCTGAAAAATAAGGGTACAAATCAAACGACGCCGATTTTAGAATTTTAAAATCTCAAACCGTATAATTAAGGTCCAATTGCAATAATATGTAAAAAGCCTCCATCAATTAACATTCTCACATGCCACATTAAATTTAAAACCCTAATTTAGAAATCAATTTGGAGAAGATCGCATTTAAGCTCAATTTCTCAAAATTGACATTAAATTCAATCGGTAAAAAAAAAAAGAGGTTCGAATACATTATTTATATATAAAAAAAAAAACCAAGACAAATTCGATATGAACTTGAAACATCAATTCCCAAACTAAAATTACACAATTGATAGATGAACAAAGCTTAGATAATACTTTAAAATGGAAAGAATATCCAAAAATATAAATTAGTTGAAATGTTTACCATAAAAATCCACGAAATAAGGATTAGATATATTTTTAATTCGAAAAAATATGTAAAAACATATTTTTTTAAAAAATAAAAAATAAATTTCAAGGACAAAAAAGAAATATTCGGACGGTCAGATTATGGGGTTGGGTCATACCAAATTCGAACCGATCCGACCCAAAACAATAATTTAAATAAACTAATAGAGTAAAAATCAATTTTAGTTCCAATCAAACTTTTTTTTTTTTCATTTTTGGTCTCATTCAAAAAAAAAATTATCAAAATTAATCCTATAGAAAAAGTAAATTATTATTTTTAGTACCATCGTTAAAATTTCAACGGAATAAGACAAGTGATTTGGACAAACACGCCCATAACCCTTGCAGCCAATTTGAGTATGGGCTTGAACTGGTATAAATATAGTAATATATTGCTTATTTGAAATAACACGGCGTGTTTGTTCCAAATCACTTGCACATCAAATTTTGTTATGGCCACGTCAGCTTGATATTTTTTTATTTTTTTATTTTTTGAATGACACCAAAAATGAAAAAAAATGGGTTTGATGGGACTAAAATTGATTTTTACTTAAACTAATAATTTATTATTAATAATTTTAAGCGACTCGACCCGACCCTAATATCACCCGCCCGCCGCTATCCTCCCTTCTTCCTCAGCAATTCCTTTTCCTCTCCTCTCATCTTAGCCTCTGTTCTTTCTTTTTTATTTCTTCTCATCCTCCTCCTCCCCCTCATCTTTCTCTTCTTATATATCAGTTTTTTTTATTCTTTTTTTACCCATTAAATTTTCCGTTTGTTGCCACCACCGCCGCGTCGCCCGAGTTCTTCCGCCGCCGTCGCCGTCACCTCCTCTACAGCAGTTTTCTTTTTATCTTTTTTTCAAATTTTCGGGTCTCTATCGGGTCGAAGAAATTTCGGGCCTGATTATATTCAGATCGGATCTGTGGTCTTTCCGACTTTGAACCGACCCATTGTCATCCCTACCCTACCTCGGCCTCTGTTCTACGTTTCTTCATCTTACCTATCGACCTTGTGTGTCGTCTTCTACCACCAACAGCTTCGCCTGCATCAAATCAGAAATTGTAAGTTCACCCCGCCGCTCCCTTTTGATTTTATTTGAGAAGCTACTTACTGCAAATTTTGATTTTGAAAGTGTTCGCTGTCAGGTTATTTCTATTTTGATTTCGTTGTGTGGTTTTATGGGTGAAAGAGAAGCATGTGAGTATTTTGCAGCAGTCTTGACGGCGTAGTTATTCGTTTAGGGTTCGGGTTCGGTTTGGTGAAACCAGCCGTGTTTTGCTGCTTTTTGTTTTTAAGATCTGAGTAGGGATAAGTGATGAAGACATAGTTGTATAGAAAGTAACCTAAATATGAACTTTTCAATTAGGGTTTAACAGTTGATTATGCTTCGCGGATGCATAGCCGAAGCAAATGCCGATCCTGTTTTCTTCTCTGTACGTTTTTATGGATTATTGCGTTTTCTATATAGCCTATGAAAAATTATTCCGACTTGGTGTAATTGCGAGTTCAAATGTTGATGAACGCTGCTGCGATCATAAATCGCGATGGTTTGGTGACTAGGTTTGTGTAAATTGATCAGTGATCATGCTAATCGACGGATATTGAATCTTTCTCTAAATTGTTCTTGCCTTCTTTGAAGTTGTGAAGTTGCAGATCGGTAGAGATGAACACGCCAAGTGTTGGAATTTAATTTTTTTAAAGGAAGTTTCGATTGTGTTAATTTGGTATCAAATTCTGGCGTATATTTGTTCTATGTGCTCAGAATATACTATTTTTATTGCATCCTTTAGGCCAATATTTTATGAGGATTAGCAAATTTCAATTGAACTTCCATTCTCTCTCTTTTTTTTTCCTCCAAAAAATTGGAATAAATGAACTATATATTTAATATTATTTGCGATGAATGAACTATATGTTATGCCCACACTGCACACTGAATACAGTTGTAATTCATATCATAGGTTTATGTTTCAAGTCGTAAATTCAGTGACAATGGTGTGGTTATATTGGAATGTTCATAACTATAATCATGTTGTTTACAATAATATATACATGTGTCTGTATTGATGTAGGTATTTATCATCTGATGGAATTCAATTAAATTATTCAGTCGAAGAAGGAAGGCCTTTCGAAGGATACTAAGAAAGCTACATTCATAAAAGTGAAGTGAGGGGATGCTATAAAAGAAAAGAGGAAGAAGACATTTTCCCTAGTGATGTCTGGCGAAGAAGCTGCAGGAGGTGGCCCAGCTGAATCGGGCAGTGGCTCAACTGGTATGCTTTGGTTTTGATATTCAAACACCAAGTTAGGGTTAATTCATGAATAATTGTGCAATTTTTTGCATCAGTTTCACCAAAATTTTATTTTGTTTTGATCAAGTCTTATGCTTGTGTAAATTTTGTTTTTCTTGCGTGCTTTTAAATTTCCAAAGTTTTGGGTTTTGCTGTTTTTTAGGTGAAACGGCGGTTGGATGTAAAATTGGTATGTTTTTATTGTGAACGATGAAATTTCGTAGTAAAGAAACACAAAAAGAACATAGCCTTTAATTCTAATGCAAGCACAAATCGGCTAATGCTGCAGTCAGTCATGCATTTTTGGATGAGTTTTTATTTTGATTTTTTTTTTTCTTTGGCATTCATTAACTTATAGGAGTTTTTGTTTATATGAATTTCTAGTGTGTAATTTCTTCAAGAAGCCATCAAAGGGGAAGAACATTAGGAAACGAACCTCTATAGAAGAGGGAGCAGGTGAAGATGACGATTCCAAAAGTGAGACTTCTGTGCTGCTGTCCAATAAGAAGAAGCAAGCAGTCGTTGACAACAAGCTTCACTTCTCTAGTGGTCCCTTGAAAAGTTCGAAAGAGCCAGAGTTGGAACAACCTAAAGCATCTGTTTTCAAATATGAATCCTCCAAAGAAATCCAGGTCCATAACGACAGTAGAGCAACAGCAACATTGGAAACAGAAACTGAGTTCTCTAAGGATGCTCGGGCTATTAGAGAGAGAGTTCTCAAGCAAGCTGAAGAGGCTCTGAAAGGGAAGAATAAGAGCGGCGGGGATGAAAAGTTATATAAAGGTTTACATGGGTATACTGATTACAAGGCTGGGTTCCGAAGAGAGCATACTGTCGCAAGTGAGAAAGCTGGTGGATCTCATGGACCTTTAAGGGCTTCTGCACACATCAGAGTGTCGGCAAGGTTCGACTATCAGCCGGACATTTGCAAGGATTATAAGGAGACTGGCTACTGTGGATATGGAGATTCGTGCAAGTTTATGCATGATCGAGGTGATTACAAATCGGGATGGCAGATGGAGAAAGAGTGGGATGAAAAAGAGAAGGCTAGGGCTAAAAAGTTGGCTATGGGTATGAAGGATGAAGATGATGACGAGAGGCAAGAAAGTGATGATGATGATGAAGATGCACTACCATTTGCGTGTTTTATTTGCAGAGAGCCTTTTGTTGATGCTGTTGTGACGAGGTGCAAGCACTATTTCTGTGAGCATTGTGCACTTAAGGTATGTTTGGCTGCTATTTCTTGTTCTTGTAACTGTTAGCTCGTGACTTGATTAAAATTACGTTATTTTTAGTTATTTATATGATCTGATGAGTCGAACTGACTTTTGCTGCTATTTATTGTCGATGTAGTTGTAGGGTATCAACCTGATTAAATTAAGTTGTTTCCAATTACTGATACGATCGATGATTGATTTTTGCGAAATGTGGAAACAGAGGAAATCTAGGGCCATAAAAGCCTATGCTTATTTAGTTTTCTTCATTATAATCTCGAATCGCTTCATATGCTTCCCACAAGGATTTTGATAGGTTAGGTCAAAGGAAGATAGTTCTAAAAATGTTTTAAGTAGTATTAAGTATTGATCAATTCTTGTTATTGTAGGTCTAAAACCTGCTAGAAGAGAACGTTAGAAATGTTTTGTACTTGTCATATGCCTAATATAATAACTTCGGGACAAAACTTTCTAATCCCTTATTTATTTATTATTTACAGCATCATGCAAGAAATAAGAAGTGCTTTGTGTGCAACCAGCCAACGAATGGCATATTCAATACAGCCTTTGAGATTCGGAAGAGAATGGCTGCAGAGAAAAAACAATGAATCATGTGCATCATGAAAGTAATGGTCAAATTCTGTTTGTTTTACTCTCTCTGGTGTAAGCTCTTTGTTAGTACTAGTGCTCTCTTAATTTGCTTGTAGACTCATGTAAAAGAAGAACCTTCGCAATTTATTGCTGATACTAATATCCTGGTTGAGAATGCAAATGCTCTTTCGCATTGCCCATTTTTAGTGACAAAAATCATATAATTTTTGTAAGATTTTCAAAGCTCATGTTGTATATCTTTAGCGCCCTCCATCTTGGCTCCCACAATTAGTGGGCAATATGATATTTTCCGGTCTTGGTTTTCAGTGAAGGGTATGATCTGTTTCTGATCCAGATATTTGTGGTATTTACTATTTAGATTTCTTTGTCTAGAAATGTCTGAATATTGTAGGAGCATCTCAGATCCCTTCCTGGAAAAGTATTTTTTTGCAACAATCTTATCGGCTGGAAAGTTACGGTGCTCATCTGAGATTGCGAACTTGCATGCAAGAAGGTAATATGCACAATCATGTATAAAGGTGTGTTAAGCTAATCTAGTAGTAGATTGTATATTATTATTTAATTTATCATTTCAGCAATTTTAGATGTGAAATATCTATAGATTTGATCAATATTACCTCCCACATTGACACTGAAAGCAACTAAAGATTCTGGATACCAAAAATTGCATCTAGAAGTTTTTCATTTTTGATCTCATGCATGGATACACTAAAACTAATGGCAGCTGAAAGATCATTTTGTTTTGTGGATAGAAACTAAATAAGGTTTATGTCTTCTTTTCTGGGTTTAATATTCTCAAGTGTTAATGCTAATATGCCGCAACAATCTTCTTTTTTCGAAGAATCAGACTCGGGTATGATGGAAAATTGAAAATAATGTCTGTAAAATATTCTAAGGGTGTGTTTGTTTGTAGGTTTTTAACAAAATTCTACTATTCATCCAAAATTTTCCCCCCAAAAACATCAAATCAAACACCTATTTTTTATTTTTTATATTATACTAAAAATCAATTTTACATTCAAAACATCACATCATCACCTATTTATATCACATCATATAACTATTCAAATTCAAAATTTTTACTATTCAAATCCCAACTCAAAATCCAAACCCCCAAACAAACACACCCTAAGTTGTCAATAAATGTGTAATAATCTATAATTTTTATATTGAACTCTATATATGTTGATTTGTGTTAGTTTGTTCAATTTTTTGTCGTTTAATTATTTTATGGAATTTGTTTGAGATGGGTGCATGTATGTCTACAAAATTTGAGATTCTGTATTTATCCTGATGTTGAATGGTTGAGCATTTCTTTTTTCCTCTTATTTAGTTACTGGAATTTGTAGAATTTCATGTGCTCGCTGGTTGATTTTAGCATTTATAGGAGTGTCAGGTGCAGAGGTTTAATCGAAGCCTGTTTCTCATCCAAAACTTGGCTGAGTTCGCAACCAAAATATATTACAGCTCACTGCTTTACAACCTCAGCAGTATGCATTAGCCCTGCCACATTGCGATCTCAAATTCTTCCATGGCTGATGTAGATTTGCAAGAAAGGACGTGTTGGCGAAGGCAAAATTAGGGATGGGAAGGCTCTACCCTTTTTCGGTAAATGCTTCAAAATCTATATTCTAGTTCATCATTATTGATACGTTCTCTGTCAAATCTAGTGAAGATATTTGAACTAGCTATTTCGGAAGCATGAATTATGTTTTCTTATCGGAAAATACTAGTTATCCTAAAGCTATTGAAATGATGGCTAACTAATATTGCTACGTCCTGTCGGTTTGGACCTCTCCGATTTTGCATTCTTGCATAAGATTCTTTGTTTGGAGCAGCACGTCATGTTGAAAGGTAATGTTGCATTGATAAAATATGGCTAATCACTTGGAGATTAATTATCGAATGCCATAATATTTAGTGGAATTTGGTTCTGGAATCGGTTCATGATGCTACTTCTTTTAGTGTTTTTAGATTCTTTATTTGCATTTCAGCTTCCTGTAATTGAAGTTGTAGTTAAGTCTTCCCCAATCACTTTCGAAAAAATTAAGACAAGAAAAAATACACCATTATCTATGCCATCCTCGTTGAGTTATTGTCGAACTTCTATCCTTTTTTCATTAGATAGAATATGTCTTTCTTTCTAGTACTATATTGAATGTACCTATATCTATCTATGAAAACATAATTTCCTTGTCCTATTTTGACGTTTCTTAAAATAAAACGATGAACTTTGTTTGCCACATAATAGAATTCGTCAAGGTTTTACTAAAGAGAGTTCGAATAGAGGTCAATCAACTACTGTAATATGCTAAAAAATTCTATACTTATGTTGTCTACTTTGTTTTGTACTATTTGTAGAAAAAAAAAATCTCAAAGACAATTTAAAACACTTCGGAAATATGACAAGCGCTCTGCCCTATTTAACTTTGATGTTGAAGTACCCTCAAAGTGTTTTTTAGTTCTAGCGCTTATACTTGATGTCAGATCCGGACTCGATCATTTCTGGAACTCAATAGTGAAAGAAATGTGCTTATTGTCACCTCTATACCTTTTGTCTTCTATACTATTTGTTCATTGTCATTTATTTGATAATGAATCTAAAATATTTAAATCCCAGGTGATGCCCGTGTCTACGCCTGGAAGGCGACTTGGACATCATGTTGAGAAAGTAATAATAACTGTTTGAAAGCAGCGCGTGCGCTTCTGTGTTTTCTGCTACAATCCCCCTGAGGTAGTATTCTTCGCAAAGTGCGCCTTCGTGTCGACATTTTTTAAATTCTTGAAACATACTCGCAATGCAGGTTCGACAAATATGCCATGTGGCTATAGGAATAAACCATGAGTTCATAAAACATGTACAGGGAGTGAAGATTCTTATGCAAAGGTTCTGGTTCAGGTAGGATGCAATGCTACTGTTTTTTATATCGTATTAATTTTTTCCATTTTTAAGACCGTTGCGCCACAAGTTGTCGATGTTTTGAGGATTGATGGCATGATCAAACATAGGTATGAGTTTTTTGCATTGAGCACATATGTGGTTTGTGTTTTGCTTAGGATTGTTTCGGATTTGTTTAAATTCGACATAATGTGGAAACCAGAATAACCAAATTGGATGAATAGTGATGGTGTTTGTGCCCGATTGGCCTCCTTTGCTAGTTACGGCTTGGCCGAGCCTTTTTCCTTTTAGTAGCTTGCCTCTAGTTCGTTTGAATGTCAAGTACAAGTGTAGTTTAGCGGGATTGACCGATAAAAGACAGGAATTCGAATTCTTTTAGAGGGAAAATATATTTTTGTAGGTAATTATAGATCAAACATATATATATATAGTCTAGAATGAATTTCTTTATTTTGTTATTTTGATCTATTTCAAATTAATTAAATTGTTTTTTTTTTTTTAAGTAATTGGGATTTCTACATAAATATTTAAGAAAATAAATCTATATTTTATACTTCCTCTGTCCCAGAAGAAGTGTCTTGTTGGGAGTTGGCACGGGAATTAAAAAATAATAGTATTTAATTAAAAGTGAGTATAAAATATAATATAAAAGACTAAAATGTCATTACAGTAATAATTAGGGATAATTTGGAAAAGTATGAATAATTTTGTTATAAAGTGGGACTACAATGCTATATAAGGAAACAAGACAATTATTTTGGGACAGACGAAAATAAAAAAACAAGACGGGAGTATGTTATTGTAATCATTGTCATCAATTTGCATACTATATATAATACTAAAATTAATTTTCAAATTTAAATTTATCTAACCTTAATATTTTTAGTAATTGTTTTTTAAAATATATGTTTGTTTTTTTTTCTCTATTTTAAAAAATGGTTGGTTCTATGGGTTGTTTATATGCAATTTCTATTTATTGCCAAAATTATTACGTTTAACATTTATTTTTATACAAAATATTATTTTTAATAATTTATTTTATTTTTAAAATATTAAAACCAAAAACAATCAATTGGACGTGGTCTTTTAATAATTATTTTTTAATTTTTTACTAATTAATTATCATATATTTTTTTATAAAAATACTCACAAAATATGATATCAGATTTTTATTGTTGAAACCAAACTAAAAGCAAAAAAATACCAAAACACATCTAGAACACATTTGTGTTTTAAATATAGTAACAAATTTTTAAATATATTTAAATTTAGAAATAAATTGTAAATATAATATTTTAATGAAAATTAAATGTTCAATATATGCACACTTAAAATTAAAAAGTACACATGAGGTTCTGATTACTTATTATTTACTTTACAATTTTTTTTGTAAAAACATATATTTTTTTTCATAAAATATTACCTTTCAAATCATTGTTAAAAATAAAATTAACCCGCAGCTAAACTATCCTTACTAATTTAATTACAATTATATAATCATACAAATATATCTGTTTAATGGTATCATTTTTATTAAATTATAAATTAAAACCAATAACTATTTTTTATAGTGTCACATTCAAATTCAGATAGACATTAAAAAAATAATACTAATAAAATACTATTTCCTCAGTCCCAAAACTATATAGTATGAGTTATATTTGACACGAAATTTAAATAATATTGATATTATATTGATAATAAGTAAAATGTACTGGTAAAAAACTTTTTTACCCTTATGATTGTATTAGTGTAAAAGTAGTAACAATTGTATAATAATAATGAAAAAGTAAGAGTAATTTTATAATGATATGATTATTTATGAAAATGAGACTATTGTTTTAAGATGAACAAAAATAGTAAAGAGAACTATTATATTAACGCGGATGAAGGATCAAACATGGACATCATATATAGTGACAGCAACACTAACTTAGCTAGTTTGCAGAGATACCATTGGGGGCCACCCCACCCCACCCCCCATTTTAATGTGTAAAGTCAAAATAGTGAAGTGGGGTGAATTTAAATATGTCATGTGACTATTGTGAAAGCCTATGATAATATATAGATAAAATTAATTTTAGATTAATTTAAAAATTGTAAAATATTGAATATAAATATAATTTCTTGATGGGATCATTTAAATAAAAATAATAATAATTAATAAATAGTATTGAAATTTTATATTTGTGTATATGTATATGGAGGCAACAAAACAAAACAGCAAAATAGTCCCTTGAATTAATTAATTAAATGAAAATTTCCACACATATGTATACATATATA